GTTTTCGTTAACTCAGGGTGTACTTACTCAGTTTTTCCACTAAACCGGCTTCCTGAAACAGGGCCCAGGGGTCAGAGCTGAAACTTTTCTGAGCCAGCAGTGTGTCTGCAACTGGCCTTTGGCTGCACACAACTTACACATGGCCCACATACTGCAAAGAATGACGGCCTTTTGGTGGCCCAGACCAGGTTTGCCAGAGGTAATCCACACATGGGCCATCAAAGGACCACCAGTCCGTCTGCAACTGGCCTTGTGGTGGCCCATGTGTGGGCCACCTTTGGCAAACCAGATCGGGGCCATCAAAGGGCCGACATTCTTTGCGGTATGTGGGCCATGTGTAAGCACATTGTGTAGGCCAGATCCGGACCATACCAATTTTACTATGTGGGTTCTTGATTGGAAGGTTCGTGGTTTGATCCATGGCTCCTGCAGTTAACATGCCAAGAGTGTGAATGTGTATGAATGTAGTTAGGAAGCACTCAGCTTGGAGACAGTGTGGGTGAATGTGGTCTGTTGTATAGAGCACTTCTAGTAATCTGAGAGAGTAGAAAAACGCTACATAAGAATCAGTCCATTGACTGTTCGTCATGTTACTTTTGCACTATTATTTTTCGGCACATGTATTTATTACATGGCTTGATTAAGGTACACATTAGGCTGACATCTGGGGCCAGAGCTGAAACTGTTCTGGGCAAGCACAGAGCCAGCAGTGTGTCTGCAACTGGCCTTGTGTGGGCCACCTCTGGCAAACCAGATCTGGGCCACCAAAGGGCCACCATTCTTTGTGGTTTTTGGGCCATGTGCAGGCACATGGTGTGGGCCAGATCCGGGCCATACCAATTTTGCTACATGGAAGGGTGTTCACTGTTCATAGACACAAACCACACCTTTCTTGGCTGCTACCTCATGTACCTCAGTGTACCTAACACATTGTGCACTGTCAGTCCTAAATACTAAATTTATATTTAGTATTTACTGTTATTTACTGTTAACTAGATTAATGCGATGGTGTTGCGTTTATCATGTTGCTCTCTTTTTTTGCTTGTTTTCTCACATTTTACTCTCAACAGGTGACCCAGGAGATTTCTTTTTCTTTTTAGGTGCCTTTTCTCACTGTCCCTCTTCCCCTTTGCTTATCTTTTAACTTTCTTTCTCCCATACCTAACTCCCAGGCTTGTATGTCCCGTTTGTAACAACTGCAAATAGAAATGACATAAAATAAAAAATAGTAATGTTAACAAAAGCCCATCAAATGGACCAATACGGCAAAGCTGTGATGATCCACTTGGTAAAGAAATCCATTGGGTATTTTTGTTGGCCTTCAGACAACAATTCTGATGGCTAAAGAACCAAATGGGCCAGGTGCCAAAAACAAACAAACAAAAAGACAAATTTGTGAATGATTATTTCTCAAGTGATTTGATTAACAATTGCAAATTCTGTAATGGAATGTGACGTAAATATGTGTTTCATAATTTTGGAGGTAATTTACCTTTTTTTATTGCAGCACGTGAACTCAGGATAATGCTATTTGGAAAAAGTGAGAAGAAGAAATCAGCCCTGGAAAAGCTCCTCGTTGGGAAGAAAGAGTCTAAAGGTTTTGGAGGAAAGCAATCTGGTGCTGCCTCTGGAGAGAGGAACAGGAAACCTCCCACAGTTGTAAAAACTCCCAACATCTTCAGTCTGCCTGTGAATGAGCTGTTTAAAGAGATGAA